CTTAAACATAGGTCCAAAGCAGACCAACCACACGGGGTTTCTATACATTTCGGCTGCAGCGCCATCCATTGGGCTTATTTTCTGCAAAACCATTGCTTACCATAAAATGAATACGTGTTATGAATTTCTACCTTAACTCCAGCGGCACTAATCGGGTAAATTTGTATCAAAAGAATTTTCTATCATACAGGTACATAGCTCACATTTAAAATTTGAACGAAATCGGTTAATAAATACGATTTTTATAAATAACTCTACTCCAGCACCGCCTAGCGAGTTTTATAGTAGCATGTAATTGGACCATATATGTATGTAAGATAACCTCCGACAATCTGACGGAACTCTATTCAGTGTTTTTTGAGTTTATTCCGAACAACGAAAACGGCTATCATTTTATGCAAATAGGTATGTAGATAGGACAGTTTATAGCGAAACTCGTAAAAGCAAAGCTCCATTCTTTGTGAAAAACTTAAAAAAATTCTTCAAAATTTTCACAAAAATTTTACCTTACTGAAAATTAAAGACAAAGTTAGAATAGTTCAATGGGATTTATAAATCTAGGAGAAAATGGTTCCCAATCGAGTGATACTTGCGCGTTTACGTAAATGTATATCGATCCAGCCTTTCCAATAATTATCACTTTTCGCCATAACTACGGTATTGATAACATATGTAGCTGTGTAGAATTTCAGGACGTTAGCGTAAGCAGTTCCAGACATAAGCTATATGAGAAGTTCAGTTTGCATGGAAGGAAGGAGCCACGCCCCCTTTCCCAATGCATTTGCAATATATGCATCAGTGCTAAGTTTCAGTTCCCCAGCGTAATTGGTTTTAGTGATATATTGGTTTTTTACGTTTTAGTCTGTATAAGAATTTTAGGAATATCCCGAGCTAAATACCGAGTAAATTTTTGGTCAGAATATTTATTTTCAACGTGTTGCCAAATATGAACCAAGTCGATGCAGCCGTTTAGTAGTTTAGTGAAATGCATTGTAAAGAGAACTGTATGAAATTGTAAAACGTGACGTCTCAGATTTCTTAATTTTATTGGCAGCAACAACGAAAAGTTAAAATTTTTTTTAGCGAAAACCCTTCCAAACAGAAATAAAAAAAAATTAAGTTTGTGGTTATATCAAGGCGAAATTTTGAGAACGGTGCGTTGCTAACTCTAAATATAAACAACGACGCACTGGAAAAAGTTAATACGTTCAAATACCTAGGAATAATGATCGACGATAAACTAAAACAAAAAAAAAAATGGATTCTATATTTTCAATTAGAGCTCTAGCAAAACTGCATTTAATTCCATACATTAGCTTTTGCGTGATGCGCTTGCAAACATACAGACAAACATACCGAAATTTTAGATTTGGCTTCTGTTGATCTAATAAACCCCCTATTAATTTTTCTTTAACATCTATTATGTACAGATATCGGCCTGTTGCAATTTTATTATTCTCAAGTACTCTCGTTTGATACCCATATGGCAACACTTAGTTTATATAGTAAATTTAACTGAATTAAAGTTTTCAAATAAGTGGCAACCCGCTTCAAGAATATTTTCAAAAGTAAGCTTCCTAATCCTCTTTAGTTTAATATTCGTATTGCAATATTTCATTTATTTTACAAATTTCAATGAATACAATCTTTCAATCAGTTGGCAAATCCCCTAAAAATATTTTCAGGATTAAAATTTCCTATCGTCTTTAGTTTGATGCCAATATTGCAATATTTAATTTATGCTATCAATTATATTAAATTAAAGTTTTCAAATAGGTGGCAACCTTCCACAAACATATTTTCAGCTGTAGGCCTTTGTAAATTTCTTTCATTTAACAGCCATATTGCAGTATTCACATTACCGTATCAATTGACATAAACTGAAATTTTAAACACAGGTGGCAACTCTCTAATTTTTTCTTCTATATTGGAAGCTAAATCTCTAGCGATACAACGGTGAAAACTGCATTCAATTCCATGTTTTCGACTGATGCGCGTACAAATATACAGACAGACAGATATTCAAAAATTCTAAGAATTGTTTACTTGGCTTCTGTGGCTTTAATAAAAACCCACCATATTAATTTTTCTTTAATATCTATAAGGTACAGACATCGACCTGTTACAATTTTATTATATGTATATCTAGATGTAGATATAGATTTCATTTATTTTATCAATTTAATACAATAAAATTTTTTCAAACAGGTGGCAGCCCTCCCTAAAACCATTTTCGGCAATAAAATCTCCTAAACCCCTTCAGTTTGATACCCATCTTGCAATATTCAATTTATCTCATAAATTAAATTAAATGTAAATTTTCAAACAGGTGGCAACTCTAAAAAATATTTTTGGCTGTAAGCCTTCTTCAGCCTCGTTCTTTTGACGCCCATATTGCAATATTCATTTTTTCTTATCAATTTACTTAAACTCCGATTTTCAAACAGGTGGCAACTCTCTAATTTTTTTCTTCCTATATTTTAAGTTAGACCTCTAGCAATACATCGGTGAAAACTGCATTCAAATCCATGCATTCGTTTTCGAGTGATGCGCGAACAAACATACAGACAGACAAACAGACAGACAGACAAAAAATCTAAAAATGGTTGATTTGGCTTCTGGTGCTCTAATAAAGACCCCCCCACATTAATTTTTCTTTAATATCTATAATGTACAGACATCGACCTGTTACAATTTTATTATATGTATAGATTTATAGATGTAGATATATGGCCTTATTCATAAAATATAAAGTAGCTTTATAAAAGGCTTATAAATTGGAAAATGTATGAAAACGTCAATTTATAAAGCTCTTTAAACCTACTTTATTTTTTATGAATAAGGCCAATAGATTTCATTTATTTTATCAATTTAATACAATACAATTTTTCAAACAGGTGGCAGCCCCCCCTAAAAATATTTTCGGCAATATAATTTCCTAAACCCTTTCAGTTTGATACTCATATTGCAATATTCAACTTATCTTATAAATTAAATTTAATGTAAATTTTTAAACAGGTGGCAACTCTAAAAAAATATTTTTTGCTGTAAGCCTTCTTCATTCTCTTTCTTTTAACGCCCATATTGCAATATTAATTTTTTCTTATCAATTTACTTAAACTCCAATTTTCAAACAGGTGGCAACTCTCTAATTTTTTTTTTCCTAAATTTTAAGTTAGACCTCTAGCAATGCATCGGTGAAAACTGCATTCAAATCCATGCATTCGTTTTCGAGTGATGCGCGAACAAACATACAGACAGACAGACAAAAATTCTAAAAATGGTTGATTTGGCTTCTGGTGCTTTAAAAAAGACCCCCCACATTAATTTTTCTTTAATATCTATAATGTACAGACATCGACCTGTTACAATTTTATTATATGTATAGATATCTAGATGTAGATATAGATTTCATTTATTTTATCAATTTAATACAATAAAATTTTTCAAACAGGTGGCAGCCCTCCCTAAAACCATTTTCGGCAATAA